GAAAAAACAATTGAAATTAAACTCTAAGCAAATAGAGTTTTGCAAATTTGTCTTGTCTTTTATTTTAGGCTTAATTAAACTTTTTCTTTTCTTTTTCTGATGTTGGCAGTGTTGTGTAATATGGCACATGCAATGTCACAGGCCCTGTCAGGTGCAACCCTCAGGCTTTTCAGACCCTGAAATCCCTTTAGTTGGCCAAAGCTCATGACATTGTGTGCCCTTGTCCTAGAGCTGCATTGTAACTGGTCTGGGGTTTGGGTCAGGGAATGGGGTCATAAAACACCTGTCTCCATGCAGGATCCTGTTGTAATCACCTGTATAATGGAAAAATGCAGTTCTCAGCATAAGTGTATGTAATACCGTGAGTTTGATATTTATAATTTTCCTTACCATGTTCAAATAATGTTCATAAATGTGAATCTCTTAAAATTCTTGAGTCATGCACAGATCCTGGCCATTTTGCTTTCACACTGATTTGTGATATGGAACATGGTCACACACCATTTTACTCAGTCAACTGCCTTAACCCTCAGGTGCTCTTCGGTCATTTCTGACCGAAAAATTTTCTGTTTTGAAATTGTAAAAATCACAGCTTCATTGGAATGTTACGAAACTTGGTGACTTTTATGGCATTGGGTATGTGAACACACAAAAAAATTGAGGTCATGATCCGAGCAGGCTAAGTGGTCGTAAAAAAAAATAGTCACACTTGTGCCCTTCGGTCAAAAATGACCGACCATAGGAAATGAATGGGAAATTGACAAAAACACAAAAACTTTGAGAATTTTTTGTGTGTACAATCTACAAATCGGCCACGATGCAGAAAAAATTTGCTCAGCATTTAAGGGCTGACACTCTAAAACATCAAGAGTGCAAAACAGACATACCCACCCCTACACCCACACACACTTTTATACATAAAAACACCAATAAATTGTGATTAAAGAAATCTGTTTTGAATATTTAAAAATCACAGCTTCTGGAGAAAATTACAAAACTTGGTGACTTTTATGGCATTGGGTATGAGAACACACACAAATATTGAGGTCATGACACACACACACACACACACACACACACATACAAACACACTTTTATACACATACACACCAATAAATTTTGATTAAAAAAAGTATGTTTTGAATTTTTTAAAATCACAGCTTCATCACGATGTTACAAAACTTGGTGACTTTTATGGCATTATGTATGTGAATACACAAAAAAAATGAGGTCATGATCTGAGCATGCTAAGTGGTCTTTGGTCAAAAATGACCCCCATAGGAAATGAATGGGAAATTGTATAAAAAAAAAAAAAAGAAAAAAAAAGTGAATTTTTGTTTTTTGTCAATTTTTTTTATAAGAAATAGTTTTTGAGATTGTTTCAACTATATATTCAAATCCACCAACAAAAAAAAAAAAAATGTGTTCATAAACAGCTGGGGAATTCACATGCCTCTCCATAGAGAGCTGTACATGCCATCTAGTGGTTACACCATGATTCTACGCTTTTTCTCTATACTGTAACCAGATGGTGCTAATTTTCTTCAAAATATATATATATATTTTTTTCTGAAGGCCTAGACTCTATATTAAACTAAAATACTGCATTAATATTTTTTTTGAAAAAAATAATATATATATATATATATATATATATATATATTTCCATGGCAAAAATAAACCATAAATATTGCATAAATATTAATAAATTCAATTAAATTGTCTCAAAATACTAAATTAAAAAGAATAAATATTATAGAACAAAAATAAATTGCATTGGTTTTACTGGGATGGAGAAAGTTTCATTTTTAGGTGTCCGATCACTTTTGACCGGGAAGATAACAAGTGTGACTCCGAAACGAAGAGCATCTGAGGGTTAAAAATATTGATATAATATTACTAATCTGGAATATTAAAAATTGTAATAGTAATTTGGCTGCACTGTATAAGCCCCCTTTCTGCTCACAAAATCCCTTCATTGAGGCCTTGATGGGAACATGTGTGTAGTCTAGTGTATAGCACCAATCATTTAAGCCTGAGGGACTGTAAGTCATAATCGGTCATCATGATTGCATTATCTTCATTGAAAATTATAATATACCCTAAGTTGGCAAAAAAAAAACGCACACAAAAAAAAACTAAGCGCTAGGTAAACTTTGCGAATGGCACGACAGAAAGCTTATCAAGTTCTCCGCATCTCCAATAGTGTAAAGGAAGCCACTCGCAAATAATTTTTGGGCAACGCAAACATGTTGTGCTGTTGTTGAAGCCCGACATCGAATCGAACATTAATGTGCATTTCCAACAAAATAATAATGTATAAACGTCACCCTCATGAGTCACGACGATCGTTTCACGAGAAAAAAATAAATGAATCTCAGAAATTAGGCTACACTATCACACCGCGCTAAAGGACTTCCCGTATCAGCCGCGATCTAATCCTGTTTACATGAAATAAGCCTGCTCGCGAGCAGGTTCAAGCTGACGGACCTGTTGCTATGACAGCAAGTCCAGGATGAGCGTCGAAGAACCAAACAATCCAAGATCATGCCAAATCGCCAACAATCAAATCCAGCTAACTGAGTTAGCGACATACAAAGAACGAGCCCCAGGTTTTTTCTGGTCATTGGCGCAATTATTTTATGGAACTGCAAAATAGCACTAGGGATTGTTTGCGCCGACACACACCTCCTTTTTGCGCCAACCCGCCCAGGAAGTGCAAGTTCATTTCCCAGTTTACTGGCTTGCGTCTGTGGAGGAAAAAAGCCCGCTTTGCGCGAGTGCAAAATAGGAATGATAAATGCGTCAGTGAATAAAGTCATTTGCGCCAGGTGCAAGATAGAGCCCACAGTCTTCTTCTGCACCAGTCTGTCCTTGTCTCTGCACTACACTTCCCAGAATCCTCCTCGTCTCCACACCTGAACTCACTCCCTCACTTTCCAGCCTGTTCATTGTTTGCTTCATCCGTGTCACCTGTTTTCACCTTGTTATGTTTGATTATTGCTTGTATTTACTCCTTCTGTTCAGTTAGTCTTTGTCAGTTCTTGTTAATGTTATAGTGTTTTGTGTGTACCATTTGCCTGCCTGTACGCTTTTATTTTTGAGTAAATCTTTGAATTAGAGCTTTTTTGCCAGCCTGTTTTTACCTGCACCAAACTCGTGACAGTAACATTCTTCAGCTTTTCTAAATACAAAAAGAAAATTTATGAAAACATTACACATTCATAAATTTAAATCAATGTCAAAATGCAGTAAGATGGACTATAACAATCTAAACATGTTGTAGATGTAGCATGAATTCGATATTACTAAATGCACTTTTCACATAGTTGAAGTATGAATTCGATATTACTAAATGCACTTTTCACGTGAATTACCTTTTTAAATGTTGCACTATTCACAGAACCATGGTGAATCCATGCCAGAGGTCTGTGTAACACTGAATCCCACACATGAACTGTGAAACTAACGAGCACTTTTTTCATACTGAACCTGCAGGAGAATAAAAGATGGTGAAAATATTATCCAAGTTATGATCATATTAATTGGCAGTGTTGGATTTGTGCAATTTACCATGTCAGCACAATGGGTCAGGATATCATATCATCATTAGCACATCTAAATACCATTTGTATGCTAAACAAAATGGACAAAAAGCATTTTTATTAACTATATAAGGTACTATGTGTGATAGCATTTAAGGCTAATTACTAACCCTTGTCCATATATAAATGACTCTTCCTTACAGCACAAAGGAACAATTGAGCCAGAAATGTATATATTAGGGATGTGACGATTCACTCAACTCACGATGCCATACGATTCACTACACCGGTTTCACGATACGATTTTCTCACGATTTAAAAAAAAAAAAAGAGAGAGATTTAAGGCAAGTTATAAATGAAAAAGTGTCTCTTTTATTATTTCTTCTTAATTTTGACATATATTTGTAAAATAATAAAACTGCATTGAAAAAAAATCCCTTCAAGGTTGTTTCAACTCAGTGTTTCTGTCTGTCTGGTCAAGAGGCTGGACACTGGTAAATTAGCACACTAAGACTGTAAAATTAGTAACACGACGGGCGTTTTAGGCTACATTGTAATAAAGGAAAGATTTTTTTTGTCCTAATTTGTATCATTAAACTAGAAAGAGTTAAAAAAAACAGAACACATTTAGCAAATATATGCCAAAACCATCAACAAAAATTATTAAAAAATAAATAAATAAATCCATGTACACGACATTTAGAGAAAGAGATAGTAAAATAAATACAACACATGGTTGCCATGGAAACACTGAGGCGCCTTGTGATCTTCGTAGCTCTCACACTTGTCGTATTAATGACTTTTACATGAAAACGGAGGTGCTTCTCCCGGTGGTGATTATTATTAGACTACAAAGAGTCAAAATGCCGCCACAGCTCCGATTTGAATGAGCCAACAACTACGCTTGCCGTCGGCAATAGTTTGACAGCAGTCTATGGCGGGGCGCGAGTGGAGCAAACCAACCGTTTTCAGTTCATTACTATAAGTGCTCACACAAGCTCAAGTTCCTTAGGAATGAAGTGAAAACACTCGCTAGGTTGTGCCAGTGTGTGTTCGCTGCTATTGGCGTTTGAATGATTGTTGACCGTATCAACGTTAACCGCTCGGGGGTTATGTCATACCCCTCGGGGTTAACTGGGATGTGCTTATTGCTCGTGAGCATTCCTATTCCCTACTCCCTTCAAATTTATACAAGAAATTGGCCCAACTCAAGCTCAGCCAACATGAAATTGTGGGGTATTATTTTTGCTGTTGTGCTCATGTATAAATTGAGGATAGAACGAACAAGCGATGTGTGATGTTATTTGATACCTTCTGGGGACATTGACCTGTATTTTAACTGTCTTTATGGGGACACCTTGTTTAAGTAGGGATTGCATTATGTGCATGATAATATAATTTGTGTAAAATTCTCAGTATCTTCTACCTTTATATTTGTCATGTTTGACTGATTACAGGTTGCCTTCCAAAACAACATGGACACAGATTCCAGCTCTGCAGAAGATGGGAATGTGTCCCACTCCAATCCCAAGGTAAGAAAGTATAGATGATGGCCACAGTTCATAAAAGTTTGGAGAATTCATTAATTTTATCTTGACTGATTTTCGTAACCATTTAAAAGGCAACCCTTTCAATGTTTGATTGATACTTTAGACCCATTCATACTTGATAACTTGCATTTATTTTTGCAATTAGATATTGAACTAGATTATTAATCTGTTCTGGTCCATGCCTAAATTCTAATACAATCACATCACAATTCAAATAAGTTGATCATTACTTTAGAGAAGTGACTACTAATTATAAATGTAGAGAAGGGAAAATCATTGCATACACATAACAAAAATGATCTTTATTTATTTATTTATTTATTTTTTGCAGTTTACAATTTTATGTACTTTAGTTAAAATCATTGTACACTCTTTCTGTAGCTTTCTGTAGCAGGATAGAACGAACAAGCGATGTGTGATGTTATTTGATACCTTCTGGGGACATTGACCTGTATTTTAACTGTCTTTATGGGGACACCTTGTTTAAGGGTGGATTGCATTATTTGCATGATAATATAATTTGTGTAAAAATCCTTTATATTTGTCATGTTTGACTGATTATAGGTTGCCTCAGGTTGTTGGTCATGAAAGTAACATCAGGTAAGGAACCTGTCCAGTAATAGAGGGTTTTCACAACGCGTTATCAATCCGGAAGTCGGACATTTTTGGAGGCACTTAACATAAACAATGAACGGACTCGCACATTTGACTGATTATCTGTTTTTAAGGTGTTTACATGAATGATAAATAAAGTGATCGGGTTGATGTGCGCGTTTATATGTCACAAGATTCAAATCGGAATTGATTATTTGACATGCGCACACTGCACGAATATGCCACTGTTCATAAGCATAAGCATAACTATTCTCCACTATTGGTTCTGTATTTGTTTTAAACAACAGACTTTTTTATCTGTGTTTTTTAATTTGTATCCGTCTCTGGTCATGATTTGGAGACGATGAGCATGAACTGTTTTGCCGTGCTGATTGTATTTATCACGCAGTAAAACCCCGCACCCAAAAGTCGTGTGTGGATGAGAATGTAAAACAAACGGTTTGACGCTGTCCTGCTTCACTTCACAGACATGGAGTGAAATGAGAATTTTTTTAATAACGAAACATTCATTTATATGACACTTTATTCAACAGGAAGAACAGCTCGTTCCGTGCGTCATATGTCATTACGCTATTTCAACGTCATTGCACATGCGCAGTTCTTTTAGTTTCGGTTTTCAATCCGATCAAGTGTTTACATGTTCTCTCGCTCGGATTACAAAAGGAGTAAACCACCCCTTTCAATCCGATCGAAATTCTAGTCGGATCGAGCTCAATCGGATCGATTAAGGTGTTTACATGAAGGGTTTTTAGTCCGATTGAGCGGTCAATCCGATTAAAAGGGTCAATGTAAACGCAGCTACTGTTTATCGCAACTGTTCAGATCCGATTTGTGAGTCCATGCCGCTCTCGGGCAATACGGCACTGACATGGACACTGATGGAGTGGTTTGCATATGCAATAGAGATTTTGTCTTATTTAAATTTTACAACATGGAAATGTGTAACGTTAGCCGCCGCGCTGGACTATATTGCATATTGAGCTGCAGAACTGTAGAAGGCTGTTATGTACAGTTATTTCCGCGCTCTTGTCTGCACCGGTTTCAAAATGTTTTAGAAATAATATTTTTCTGCTCGTCCGGCACTTTGCAACAACACAGCATTGTTTCGGCAGCGACTTCCAGCATGTCTCCTCTAACAACCTGACGTTTACATTTTACATGCCCGGGGAGACACATACCACCCGAAATCCGATCGTTCAGACTGAGGCATGTCCTGGTATTTGAATAGGATTTCAAACCACATATGGATGTAGCTTGAAACGGATTTCATGTGCTTTTTGGACTGACAATTTGAACGTAGCCTATGTCAGGATAAGTAATAGAAGGAAGAATTGCAGTAGCTACGGTCTAGAGAAGCTAGCTCGTTCTGACCTTTACCACATATTACTTTATTTTGTCAAAACGCTCTCTCCTGCTTGATAAGTCCTTCTCTGTATGATTTCGCACCTACCACAGGTTTTTTCCCGTGTTTTGTTTGTAAAACAATGTGTTCAGTAGTACATGAAGAGTGCAATCCATGCTGTTGTTTACATCCGAGTGCCTCCATAATGGCCGCTCATCCGGGTTACCGCCCAGATCGTGACGTCTGTGAAAACCCTCTATAGTTTTTATTTGCTTTATTTATAAAAGGTCAACAACATCATAAAGAATAGTATAAAAAAATCCAGTCTTGGACCTACAACACATGCAGTGCAATTAATGTAATTTTCTTGTCATTAGTTCCTAGGAAGAGAAAGTGGAGTGAGGTGGAGATTGCGGCTGTAGAAGAGAAAATGATGAAATTTATTCACTCGGGAGTTACTCCTGGAAAAGTCGACTGCATGGCATGCATTACAGCAGCCCCCAAAGCCCTCGGTGAACGAGACTGGCAGGCGGTGAAGTATTATATAAAAAAACAGAATCACAGCATATGAGAGAAGGACCACTAAAAAGTAAGGTTGATTTTGGTTGTTGATTCAGTTTTTGTGTTTTAGCTGAATTATATCATCTGTTTTTTTTTGGTCTCAATACCATAGTTTTTTTTTTTGGTCATTATAATATTATAATGTTATTAATTAATTAAGTTTTGAAAGAGTTAGAGGAGAACTCCGGTCAATTTTAACATTGAGCTCTTTTTTTTGTACATTTAGAGTGCTGTCAGTACAGACAAAAATGACAAAAATCAGTGTTGCCTACATCGTGTTATCCTATTTTTAAAATTCGCACCCTGTTGACTTCAATGGGACATGTTCTAAACCTGCTTTTAGCCTCTTAAAGGGTTAGTTCACCCAAAAATTCTGTCAGTATTTACTCACCTTCATGTTGTTCCAACCCCGTAAGACCTTCGTTCATCTTCAGAACACAAATTAAGACATTAAGATCACTCCTGCATACTAGTCCATGGGCTTCTTGAGGGAATGACACTTGCTGGCCTCAAAGTCATTAAAGACATCGTTAAAATAGTCCAAGTGACTACAGTGGCTCAATCTTAAGTTTATCAAATGACGAGAACACTTTTGTGCGCAAAAACAACAAAAATAACGACTTTATTTCAACTATTCGTTTATTTCTCCCTCTGCGCGAGTCAGGTTACTAGTTTAATAGCGTAAGCTTCTGTTATTGTACATCACACGCATCACACACACATGACCAGCGTCGGCCAATAGTGAGCCTACGTGTGACGTAGCTTTACGCAATCACACTACGTAAACTGACTACAGGCCCATGGAGAAGGAAGTGAATAGTTGAAATAAAGTCGTTATTTTTGTTTGTTTTTGCGCACAAAATGTATTCTCGTCGTTTGATCAAGTTAAAATTGAGCCCCTGTAGTCACTTGGACTATTTTAACGATGTCTTTAATGACTTTTCAATGCCAGCATGAGTCATTCCCTCAAGAAGCCTATGGACTGTATGCAGGAGCGATCTTAATATCTTAAATATCTTAATTTGTGTTCCGAAGATGAACGAAGGTCTTACAGGGTTGGAACAACATGAGGGCGAGTAAATACTGACAGAATTTTCATTTTTGGGTGAACTAACCCTTTAACATCATTGATTTATCATTACAAGTGCACAGCCATGTGAGTGGTGTTATTAAGAGTGACCACGGTCAATCGGACTGCAGTAGATGTGAAAGATATGAATAAAAATGATGTTAATTCAGCCAGCACACATGCCTGTGTTTACTTCCTGTTTTCAGTCGAAGTCCACAGTAGTCGATTGTCGAGTTCGCGCGCGATCATTGGTAACTAAGCAACAGTGGAGACTCAGACTGTCAGCCTATGACGGTGCTGTGTGGTGTGCTTAGAACATCAGCTCAAATGGATAGTTCATCCGTATCAGATGTTGAACATCATTTAGTTACTAATGATCGCGCGCGAACTCGACAATCGACTACTGTGGACTTCGACCGAAAACAGGAAGTAAACACGGGTATGTGCGCTGGCTGAATTAACATTTTCATTCATATCTTTCACATCTACTGCAGTCCGATTGACCGTGGTCACTCTTAATAACACCACTCACACGGCTGTGCACTTGTAATGACAAATCAAGGATGTCAAGAGGCTAAAGGCAGGTTTAGAACATGTCCCATTGAAGTCAACAGGGTGCGAATTTTAAAAATAGGATAACACGATGCAGGCAACACTGATTTTTGTCATTTTTGTCTGTACTGACAGCACTCTAAATGTACAAAAAATGAGCTCAATGTTAAAATTGACCGGAGTTCTACTTTAAAACAGTTTGATGTGGTTGTAAATTTGGTGCTTGGACTTCCTTGTTTTTAAGTCTGCAGGCAAAATGCTGTGTCAGGGGATGAGTTGGTGTAAATGATTTTTTTCTAATTGCGTAGATTAGTTTTACTGTACAGTAGCCATACGACAGAGTGCCTATAGTTTTCAATGCCTTAATTAAAAATGTGAAACGTAAAGGGGACTGAATAGTGTTATGGATTAAATTTTAAATTGATAAATGTATTTTCTGATGGCACATTAGACGAAGCACTTAATAAAAAATAAAAAAAAAAATCTTTTTTTTAAACTTTTCTTCAAAAAGAATTGTAGCTCTGATCTTCTAACCTTCCCAAATGTGTTATTACTGGTTAACTACAGGATTCTTAACTTTACTTCAAACATAATACATACTTTTAACAATTGCTTACCATTTATACATTTAATTGGTTTGGTCATTTTTTTTTTTTTTTTGTGTGTGTATCTACTTGTGTGCTCTGTCGGGTTTAGGGTGAGTGAAGCACTCTGTGACAACTTTTTTTAAAGGGCTTTATAATATAAATTAGATTGACTTTGATAACTTTGCTGCTCAGCAAAATCACATTCAATGTATGGCTCTCATGGGTCATACTCAGTAAATGTAGCAACTGAATTGTGTAAGAATGAGTTAAATGCAGTATATGATTGTGGCAGTCTTGGAGGACTGAAATGACTTGCAGTTGAAGATTAGATGTTCAAGTTCATTTAAGTTAAGCTGAACTAACTTATTAAACCACCCTATTTTTAACAAACCAATATAACTTCCAGAAATACCATTATGAATTGGCCAGCTGGCCATATTATGACCTTTCTTTGTCTGTAGATTACACTGGTTTGTCCCCAGATTGGACATCCATGTGTACTTATTGATACACTAGTTGGTCAGGGTTTTGTCCCCAGATGGGATTTCCTGTTAATGCTCATATAAGGAGTTGTCCCCGTGTCCCCACATGTGTTAACCTGACCTGTCCCCAGATTACCACCTACCCTTATTTTAATGAATTAATTACATTTTAAGAGAGATATTTATTAAACTTTTTTTTTTGATTTTTTGATATGTTTATCTAGTCTCTAGGATGCCAGGAAAGTGGTGTCCCCAAAATGTGGTAAATAACTGGTGCCCCCACGAGGCACCCCAAACAAGTATGTGTGTGTGTGTGTGTGTGTGAACGTCTCAACCGTCCTGATAGAAAATATGTGGAAAAGATCAAAAGTGTACCTATATATGTGCCAGACTCGATGCCAGAAACACGTGATGCAGTATTTTCCTGCTCTTTTAGCAACAATAGTAAACCTCTTTGAATCAGTCCACATCCTAACACAACGCTCCACTCTTCTCCACAATGGTAACCCACTGTAATGTAAATGGTTCTGATAATTGCAAAGTAATTGAACATTAAACACATTTACACACTATAAAGTCTTCCCCTTACCTCGTTTTCTAAAAAACACATCAAATGACAGTTAATCAACATTTAATCTGTCTTAATTCAGATTTATGCAAAGCATGCTGGGAACTAACAAGCACCGCCCAGTTTCAGTTAATGCAACACAAATCATTCATGTAATCCAACACAAACGGATTAAGTAAACTTAATTTTACATATTTAAGCAGATTGAACTCAATCAAATTAAGTTTGGACAAAATGTACAGCATTTGTGTTGCTTGAGCTCATTTGAAGAAGTTTGAACAAGCAGACAAAATATTTTTTTTCATTGAAATATATTTAAAGCATTCCAGAACAGACTTTCCGAAATACTCACAGAAATGAAAGACTTAGCCTTTAGATTAGCGTTATATTTTCTCTGAGGCCATGCACCTGCTACTTTCTTCCCACTCCATCTTCATCCAATACACTGGAAATGGTCTCATCCAGGTTTTTTTTTATCGTGAAATTAAACCCTTTACATTATTTAACAGTTAATAATTAAGTAAAGTGGAAAAGTTCATTAAATGCAATACAATAGTTTTTGGTGGTAAAAGAAATATGTGTGTTACTTTAACAAAACATATTTGGGTATAAAGAACAGTGCCACAAAACCATTTCTTTGAGTGCATAATCATCTTTCCAGCCAACACACTCAGAAACACTTGAAACTATTAAAATATCTCCTTGAGTATTTTTTCCCGACACATTTTTTCTTTTGCTTTGCGGCAAGCTTTATACACATTTATTTGTAGTATATTTTTCACAATACATATCGTTTCAAAGCAGCTTTACAGAAAACGCATGCGTCTAAATGACAATGTCGAGTGATCTGTTATCTGAGGGGTTTGTGTTGGGAGCCGACTGCAATCGCACAGCTGGACTTGGTGAGAGCGGCTCCCATGTGTCGTGTGTTGTTCAGCATATGGCAGCATAACAATGAAGAAAAGAAGAGATAGCTGTAACATCCAACAAGTGCAAGTGGGCCACCCCAACAGAGGACTCTTTAAAGAAAGTGGAGTATCAGCAGGGCAAGGACATCATTTTTAACAACTCTCACCAATATAAAAAAGGAAAATCTTGGAAAGGTCATTCTCTGTCCGCTGCTGAGCAAGCCCAACTCTACAACAACCTCTCGCAGTGCCGCACACAAGAGAAGCAGATCATCAAACCAGTAGTCCTGTCTGTTGTGGAAGAGTACGCAGCGTCCTGTGTGCCAAAGGCTGTCATGCCGGATCTACCAGAAGCCCTCACCAACCTGTGTAACAAGCAGACGAGAGACCTCAACCTGGCCGACGTACAAGATCAACAGAAGCACTACTGAAGACATAACTGTGACCAAAGAACACGTACAGAAGACTCAATCTATCATTGCTGGTGTGTGTGTGAAATGAAAGACAGTTTGGACTACCTTTCCTGAAGTTCACAGTCCGTGTATTGAAGAGAATGCTGCGAGTCAGCGGAGGCCTCCCTGAGACCCAAACCGCGGACTCCCTTGCCGGCTGGATCGAGGAGGAGTTGCGTTTTTTACGGGACATTGTTCAGCCAGCACTGGGAGCGCCACGAAGTGAAACCCATACACAAAAGCAGGTGGGCAAAGATAAACTTGCATATCTATGGCAGAATAGAAAATCTAGAGCAATCAAGATTATTCTTAACAACAGTACATACCCAAGTGTACCAGTTAGCGCGGATAATATTGCCATCTGTGCAGAACTACTACACTTCTAAATGCGCGCCTGTGAGGTTTGAAGGTGTGTATATCATTCTTCCCTGTACAACTTAGCCAACCTAACACTGCGCTGTTCACTGTCACTGAAGTGGAGAAAGTGCTTAATGATCTCCCCAATAATAAAGCAAGTGGACTTGATGGCGTGACCTATGAAACACTGAAAAATAACAAACAAACGGTGTGCCCAATTCTGACCAATATATTTAACATCTGTCTGGAAAATGGTAAAGTTCCAGAATCATGGAAAGGGGCCCTGATGCACCGTATTCCCAAAAAAAGATAATATTCCTGACGATCCGTCTACCTGGAGAGATATTTCCCTGTTACCTGCAGTCTATCTGAAGTGTATACTGGCAAGAATACTTCCTTGGCTAGTAGAAACGGGAATACTTTCACCAAAGCAAAAAGCTTATATCAATAAGCAGGGGATGAATGAACATGTCTTCTGTCATAAAACGGGAATAGATGACTTCAAACACTTTGTCTACCGAGCTCTTCGTCGTCTTTTTGGATTTTCGTGATGCATTTGGCACATTACCCCATGAGATCATGTTTTGGACGAAATAGGACTACCACAGCTATATGCGGACACAATTAAAGATGTTTATAATAATTCATACATCCAAGTAATATGTGGAAGCGCCCTAACTGTCCCCATACCACTTAAAATGGGAATCAAAACAGGGTGCCCGTGGAGTGCCATCAATTTCATTCTGGCGATTAACTCCTGGATGAAGTGGCTGTGCCAGTGCGCGCCTGCAGGTCTCCAAACACAGTGCAAGGCTATGCGGACCATGTGGAAATCTCTTCAAGAGATCATGAAAGTGTAATTTCCAACATGCTCCTCCGCACAGACGAGTTCATAAGGTGGTCAGGTTTAGACATACAAAATGTGCTGCATCTACGAAAGACGCAGTGGAGGAAACAGATGGTATATAGAACAAAGTCTGATAAACCCCCTGCCTTTTCATTAATGCAGAACGCCATGAAACCTATCCTTATCTGGGACATAAATTTAACATCAGTGGTGATTGGGAGGAACAGATCACAGAGCTGTGTCACGAGTACACTCCACTATGCCCCACTCCCCATAATGATGAAAGTTGAAGCCATCAGGCTGATTGCAGTGGCTAAAATTCAACATCTTTTCCCAAACGTACATATTCCACAATGCACATTGATGAACGATGAAACGGTAAAGATGGTGAGGAAATGGTTCTGTCTTAATAGCCGTACAACTCGGGATATTATCTTCCAGCCGTGTGGAGACGGAGGCCTCGGCGCCCCAAACATCGAATGGCTTTACACCGCTTCTAGAACAGGACATCTTCTAAATATGCTCAATAATGACGATACAACTGTTAGAGAATTAGCACGTGAATCGCTGTTTTTACGTCTACAGCGTCTGCCGCTTCCACCAACGAGCCTCAGTTTCTTGGATTTAAACTAAAGCAGAACGGAAAGTTAGACGGATTTGGAGCGCGCTCTGATTGGCTGGACTTAAACAAGCTCTGTGGCCGTATAGGAATACAGCTGTCCTGGCTTGGACCCGACGGAGAAGTAGTTGCACTCGACGATAACATAATCACCAATCCGCTGGTTTCCACCTTGGCGATCCTCAATAACGACAGTACACCTCACCAACTACAGATTAAACATGCGAGAGCTTCAATTCTTCATCTCAGACAAACCCAGAACGGACAGCGCTGGACGGGCCTCAGACTACAAGGAAAACTTGCATTACTTCAATTCGCTGACCATTCAGTGTCTCATTCTGTACTGAAAAACTCTTCAATCTCAGATGATATTAAAGTATTCATGATTAAAGCAAGATTACAGTGTCTCCCAACAAAGTACAATCTGGCAACATGGTTCCCATCAAAGCATGAACCCTACTGCATATTACATCCAACTCAGCAGGAGAATGAAATGGTTGCTCACATATTAAATGGATGCTACAATTATAAAGGACTGTATGTGGCCAGACACGACCGTTTAGTTGATCTGGTTGCAAAGGACTTGAACAAGGTAATCTGTGGACATGGTATTAAGATTCATAATAGTAGTGTACAAATTAACTGGTTTCATCAAAATACATCTGACAGTGAGTCTTTTAAAAACCTTCCAAATACTCCTGATATTGTGATTGTAAATGAGGTTATGAAATCTGTGTGTATGTTTGAGGTGGCCTGCTGTTTTGACCTGTATATGGATATGTGTTACTACTCCAAACTATTGAAATATCAACCACTTGTAGATCGCATTTATCAACTTGGTTACAATTGTAAATGAATAATTCTGGTGTTTGGAAGTTTAGGCCACGTCCATAAGAGTGTGGTCCGGCGGATGCAGTTAGGACGGCTGCAAAAAAACGAGGCAAAAAAGCTTGCAAAATTCTGCTCTGTTTCAGCCACCATAGGGAGCTTGCAAATCTGGAGACGGAGATGCTTTAGTCACCTCTTTTTATCTATTCTCACAAAAATCATGTTGTTAAGTAAATGCTATTTATTAAAACAATAATAGAGCTGAGCTTGCTATTTTACCATGAGATGAGTCAGCAAGGAAAGAAGAGGGTGCGTGGCATTGTGATTTTTAATTTTAATTTGCAAGAAATATTCACCTTGTTAAAAAAAACAATAAAAAAAACAAATATAAAAATTTTATTTAAAGTTTATTCCTTGTATCGTGACACATGGATTTCTCTGGGTTAAGCCCCGGATATCCACTCACCCTAGAACCGCTCCTGATCGCAGATGTAAAATATATTTATAGAAAATTTGAAAGGTAATTGCCAGATGTTTTACTGCGTCACATGGCAAACAACAATTTATTAAATGTTACAAAATATTGTAACTCAAAGTTTTCCTCTGACTGCAGTGACAGCTGTAAAGTTGCAGCAGTGTAATTCACACAATTCACCACAGGAGGGCGACTGGCTAAGTTGTCTTGTTTTAAAGTTTTAGTGCTTAGCTTTTTGTGTTCAAAATGTTCAAAGGTTATATAGTAAGCGAGTACATGAATCAGTTGTCCAAATCGTGCTTTGTCTTATCCTGAATCACTGTGGTACTTGTATTCGCAAGTTTCTCAAATGATTCTTTATTAGCCACTTTGTTATTGTATCCGTAAACACATAATAGTATATAACGTCATTTATTTCCACTGCTACCATTAACCAGTGACCTTCTGTATCCTCTTGTGAACAATTATTGAGCCTTCAAATCTATTAAATAATAACATCACTCCAGCTGAATGAGAAGAACCATGTGCAAACAGAGCTAAATCACCCCATTGTGTCTTCCAAAATTTTTCATCGTTCAAAACAGAATGAGACTCTTGTAAGAATATGCAATTTGCTTTTTGTTCCTTACAAAATAAAAAAATGGCTTTACGCTTAACACTATTTTTTAACCCCCTGACATTCAAAGATATAAAAGAAATAGACATAACTGTACAGAATGAACTTTAACATTTTAATATAGAGAAACCGATCATAAAGAATCTTTAGATGCCTATATGGTCCTGTACAAGACTTCTAATATCCAAAAGAGTGAATCATTAGATTTCAACCATTGCTTGGATCCATCTTTGGATATACTGAAGACGAAACGTTGCTCCTCTACTTGCCAGATGAACTAGTCCTTGTCTTCCTTCTTCCGCTTGGAGGAACAGAAACACTTTGTGGAACCAAGTGCAGTTCGTCCCAAAAGAAGTTCACCAGAATTAACTGCAATTTTCCAAAAACCAGCAGGGGGATCAACACAAGCCAGACGATGCCACAAAGCAGAAGCTACTGGGCTGTTCATTATTAAAGTTCTTCCTCTGTAAGACAATTTTGGAAGGAGCCACTTCCATTTTTCAGGTTGATCTTGCACTTTCTCCAAAAAACCTTCCCAGTTTTACTGCAACATTTCATTGTTACCTAAATAAACTCCAAGGTATTTCAAACCTTTTTTATTCCATGATAACCCTGCTTTAGGTAATGTGAATAGACCTTTTCCCAATCTACAAACGCAGTTGCATCACTTTTTGTCTAATTTACTTTAGCAGATGATATCAAACTAAAATCTTTAAAGGGATACTCCACCCGAAAATGGAAATCCTGTCATCATTTACTCTCCCTCGAGTTGTTGCAAACCTGTATGAGTTTCTTTCTTCTGCTGAACACAAAGAATGATATTTTGAAGAACGATTGGAAACAAACAGTTGTTTGGCACCATTGACTTCCATAGTAGGAAAAAATAATACAATGTTCTTCAAAATATCATCCTTTGTGTTCAGCAGAAGAAAGAAACTCAACAACTTGAGGGTGAGTAAATTATGGTTTTATATTATGACTCGTGTTATATTAGAGGTGGTTTGTGGCATTATTCATTATGAATTAATGCTGATGGGAAATGAGGAAATGTGCAATTATATTGAATCTCTTAGTAACAAGCTTTCAGGAATAAAGCTTTTGAAAATTTAGAAAAAAAAATCACCCACATCCACTCAATAGGGAAGTGTTTTCTAATGGCAGAAACCAAATCAATTATGAGACTCAGTAGAAGAGCTTCAGGTTAAATCCTTCATGATACTCGGTAGTGTCGAGGCAATTCGGTCGGTACCTAAAAAGTATCGAACTCGATACCCAGCCCTAGTGAAATGATGAGAAAATGAGGGAAAAGTTGCTTTAAGATTTTGTCTTTATTTAGCCCTTACTGTATAATCATAATTTGCTAAAAGAAAATCTTAGTATTATATCACTGTATTAATGGCTATTCACATTCTCCTCTGTATAACACTTGTGCTGCTGTTAATGGTTGTATATTGTGTAGTGTGGTTTGCTGATTGCTGATGCGGTTGCGTGTGCATTAACTGTTAATGATGTTTAATGCATCTTTGTTTGGTGTTTGTGGAGTTAACTCAGGCTATAAAAGATAAAAGATAGCAGAGCAGCTCATACACACCATCATCATCTCCTGATGAGCAGCGTCTTCAGTCTTCAGTCTGATTCCCGGTAAGATCATGTCGTCTCATGTGGGAATTATTGTGTCCTTGTGTTTCAGCCTTTGCTCAAACGTTAGCACATGTTGTTCAGCTTGCTGACTCTCTAGTGTGCTTGATTATGTGGAGAACAAACTAAAGAAATTAAGGTGGAATTGTTTAAAGCAGGTTTGAAAGTTTTCTTTAAGGTTCTGCCGGATCCAGTTTCCATTTCAGGTTCTTGAGATTCATTTGATGATGATCGTAAACTTCATCATCTGTGTTCCCAGGTGAAGAGGAAATGCATTTAAATTGGGATTTCTTTTGGACATACTTAATATATTTAAATTATACTGTATTAAGTGCGTGTTAAATGTGTTATTGTGAAACAACTTTTCAAGATATGCTAAAGAACAATGTTAAAGGAGTCATCCAAGATGTCCATGTCTTTCTTTCTTTAGTCGAAAAGAAATAAAGGTTTTTGAAGAAAACATTTCACATTTTTGTCCTTTTGATGAACGAGTTCGAAGAGGAGAGTCACAAATGCGTGTCACAGAACAGAGAAAGGCGAGCATTTGTGCTTATAAAACTTAAACATTTTTTTTTTTTTAATGAGTGACCGTTTCGCTTGATAAGACCCTTATTCATCGTCTGGTGTCGTTTAAAGCCCTGTGAATAGTTTGCACTGAAACTGTCTTTTGGACCTAGAACCGTTTGGTTCCCATTGAAGTCCATTATATGGAGATAATCCTGGAATGTTTTCATCAAAAACCTTCATTTCTTTTCCACTGAAGAAAGAAGGACATGGACATTTTGGATGACATGGGGTGAGTAAATTATTAGCAAAAAATTTTTTTAAAGTGAACTACTGTTTTAAGGCGAGACACGGCAGGCAAAAACATTGTGTTTTTTTCACTGGTCAATTTTGAGATTTTGGGATATTTGTCTTTAGTAACATATCTTCTTTCAGACTTTTGCCGAAAACAAGTCCAAAATACACATTTAGGTCTTTATTTTACTACACTTTATCTGTTTGCGTGTGTAGATTTCGCCTAATTCATCAAAAGTTGTCGTCTGAAGGATTTGTTGATATGTCATTCTTGGCCTGATTTATATGACTTTTTATGCCTCAATCAATTGAAATCAATTGTTTAAGGATATTGGCAGTGTTTTATGATTGACAGGGTAACAAAAGGAGATATTCATAATCCCCTCTGGTAATGTCTTTTCATTGAATATATCAAAAAAATGCTAAAATAATTTTGAACCTTGTTTTTTTTCAATGGTCAGATTCGTCACTTCAAAATATATGCAAATTAGTGCATATTTAATTAGATATAGCCTGTTCACAGTTCATTTTTTTCATCTTGAGATTAATTTGATGATGATCGTAAACTTCATCATCTGTGTTCCCAGGTGAAGTGCATTTAAATTGGGAAAATGGACAAATAAGTTTAACTTTATTTGTTAGTGAATTGTGTTTAAGGTAATTCCAGTTCCCTTTCGTAGTCACTCCGAGTTAAGTCGGATGACGGAGAATGGGGGTTTCGCCTAGAAAGCCAATCCTCTTCGAGTATTAAAAAACGAGCCAATGGCAAAGAAATGCCATGGGTCTGCAGAATTTGCATAGCGTATCTCCGCCTCACCCCGTGAGTATAAAAGGAGGAAGCGGACGCAACCGCAGTATGTTTTCGCTTCGGAGCCAAGAGAACTTCTTCACTCCACAGGCCACACAATCTGAGTTTACTACTGTGACTCACCTCTTCGAGACGAACGAACTCTCTGGTGTTGGTGTGACGGCGGTACCCAGCGAGTTTCACATTGCCTGCGATCTGAGCAGTGGTCTGCCAGTGTGTGTGTCTCTCCCTGGTCGCTTCAACATCCGCAGAGTTTTCTCCTCTCACTGAAAGAGTGTGCACGCGGCACGTCTTTTTAAAGACGATCTGCTCGTGTATTCCTGAGTGCGGTATTCTGATGAGTCAGCTGATGGGCGCGAGCGCTGTTTGACGTGTTTGGGTTTTGATCACGCTCAGACAGCGCTCGTGGGTGTGTCACGTTCTCTCAGTGGGAACGTGATCATCGCAATGTATAACGGTTGAGACTCAATGAGCTCAATAGTGTGAGAGTCCCCTCATCCACAACCCGAACTATTTTTCTCCACGTGAGATAATACTTCGGCTGGTGGCCAGGGTGACCAAAAGACGTCAGGTCTGGAACTAAACCGACGAAAATTCCTCGGTCCACACCCCGTCTTTCACGTTGCAACCCACGTGGTCCAGAGTGAGTGGGCGGGGCCTCATTTGGTCCCCCAGCTGATGAAATTATGTTTATCGCTGCATCACAAGGTGAGCTGGAGTCCTCTGAAGATGCCTTGTCTGTGCTGCTGTCCTCGGATGTGCTAGCATAGCGAGCTTGATTCAGGGTTCACAACTATGCTTTCCCGGGCTGCCACGAGTGTCGGGTTTGTGTGGAAAATTCTGCCATGTCCCCAGCACTTAAGGCTGATGATTGGTTTTTGGGGGTGGCAAACCCAAATCCTTTCTTCCCGGATGTGCATGAAGAGGCCGTTAGACTGCTGCCTCTACGAGGGCAGAGAAGGCAGAAGAGGCCGCTGAGCAGTCGTGAAAGTCAAAGGAGACTTCCACGACTGCTCAGCGGCCTCTTCCGCCTTCTCTGCCCTCGTAGAGGCAGCAGTCTAGGGTACACTGGGGTTCCCCCCTGTGGAGTGTTCTGTGGCAACACTTATGTGTCCCCACAGCGCCTCCACTGGCCGTGGCAACCCTAAGCACCAAGCGGACTGTGGCTTTGTCTGACCCTGTGGTTTCTGCTGCAACTAGCTGCCGGCTCAGATGCCTCACTTCGCTTGCCGCCGAATGTGCCCTCCTGCGACTTCCGCCCCCTTCTGTCCAGCCCCAGCAGCACCCGGCCGTGCCGTGGAGGTGGTCGCGTTTTGAACCATTCTCTTCACCGACTGCCGTTCATGATGCTTACGGCCAAACGCATTTTTGAGTGCGTTCGGCCCCAGGATTGGTTTGCAGCGATGGACCTGAAGCACGTGTACTTTCATGTCTCCATCTTACCTCGACACAGACCGTTTCTTCGGTTTGCTTTCGAGGGACAGGCATATCAGTACACGGTTCTCCCATTCGGGTTAGCTCTGTCCATTCGCGTCTTTACGAAGATCGTCGAGGTAGCCCTTGTTCCCCTTCACGAACACAGGGTTCGCATCCTGTTTCTAGCACACTCTCGAGATCATGTTTGCGAAAACAGAGACCTTGTGCTCTGGCACCTAGCCCGTCTGGGCCTTCGGGTCAACTGGGAGAAGAGCAAACTTTGCCCCGTGCAGAGGATCTCATTTCTCTGTATGGAGATAGACTCGGTCGCCATGTCCGCGCAGCTCACGAGCGAGCGCGCACACTCACTGCTGACTTGTCTTCGACAGTTCGAGGGCAAGAGTGCGGTCCCACTGAAACTTTTCAGAGGCTCCTGGGGCATATGGCATCCGCTCGGATCACTTCATATGAGACTGCTTCAGCTGTGGCTTCGCGATCAAGTCCCGAGGTGGGCATGACATCCAGTTCCAGTAACTCCGACCTGCCGTCAAACCTTCCCGCAGACGAACCTCAGCTTCTTGCGGACCGCTGTCCCTCTGCAGCGAGTTTCCAGGCATGTTGTTGTCTCCACAGATGCATCTGCCACGGGTTGGGGAGACATGTGCAATGGTCATGCAGCCGCGGGTTCCTGGACAGGACCCCAGCGCCTTATACATATCAATTGCCTCGAGTTGCTGGCAGTACGCCTGGCCCTGCACCGCTTTCGAGCACTGCTCAGGGGTCAAAACGTACTAGTCCGTTCAGACAATACCGCAATAGTAGCGTACATCAACCGTCAGGGTGGTCTACGCTCACGTCGGATGTCGCAACTCGCATGCCACCTCCTATTATGGAGTCAGAAGCACCTGAGGTCCCTTCGTGCTATTTACATTCCAGGAGAGCAGAACCTGGAAGCTGATGAGCTGTCGCGGTTCCGTCCAGTCTCTGACGAATGGCGACTCCATCCCCAGTCGGTCCAGCTGATATGGGACCAGTTCGGGGATGCACAGATAGATCTATTCGCTTCCCACGACTCATCCCATTGCGCCCTGTTTTACTCTCTGACCGAGGGCACGCTCGGCACAGACGCCTTGGCGCACAGCTGGCCACGGGGCCTACGCAAGTATGCGTTTTCCCCACTGAGCCTTCGCGCACGTACTCTGTGCAAGATCAAGGAGGACGAGGAGCAGGTCTTGCTGGTAGCCCTATATTGGCCCACCAAGACCTGGTTCTCCGAACTGGTACTCCTCGCGACAGCACCTACTTGGCCTATACCTCTGAGGAAGGACCTCCTCTTTCAGAGACGGGCACCCTGTGGCACCCTCGTCCTGATCTGTGGAGGCTACACGTGTGGCTCCTGGATGGGACGAGGCAGGTTTGAGTACGCTGCCACCTGCGGTGGCGGCTACCATCACTTCTGCTAGAGCGTCGTCCACTGACACGTCTATGCGTTGAAGTGGAACCTCTTCGTCAACTGGTGCTCTTCTCACCGAGAAGACCCCCGGAGATGCTCGATCTGATCTGCTTTCCTTCCTGCAAGAAGGGTTGGAGCAAAGGCTGTCTCCCTCCACCCTAAAAGTTTATGTGGCTGCAATTGCCGCATTTCATGAAGAAGGGCTCTCTCAAAGCAGCGGCTGTCTCACTGGATAGTGGACACCATCGCTTTGGCTTACTAGCAGCAAGGTCGACCGTGCCCCCTTGGTGTGACGGCCCACTCCACCCGGAGTGTGGCTTCCTCTTGGGCTCTAGCGCATGGTGCCTCGCTAGCAGGCATCTGCAGAGCTGCAGGCTGGACGACACCGAACACATTCGCGAGATTCTATAACCTCCGAGTGGAGCCTGTGTCCTCTCTTGTACTCGCTCAACCGGCCAGTACTGGACCCGCTCAGGTGTCTTCGCTTGCTCGCCACTACACTCCACGGACTGGATAGGTGCGAATTCTTCTCAGCTGAGCCTTCTGTTGAAGCCCTGAGTCCTCCAGCACTGTTGATGCTGGCGCCAATGTCTGTTGCCTGGGCGTCGGCGAGGTGCCTCCGTGTGCATGGTTCCTGCTAGTAACCTCCACATGTGTATTCTCCACTGTAAGCCTCTCTGAGCATGTGTCTTCCCTTGGCAAGCCACCTTGCCACCCCTGGAGTTAATATTCTAGCCACCCTACGGGTTGGTCACTCCAGTATCCTCCATATGGAGCCCCACGGGGCCATAGGTGTATTCGTAAGTCCTCCCTATGGTAGGCATACTGCGGCATATTCCCCTGGGATATGCTCCCCAGTGTACCTTGGTAAGTAGGACTCCTCGTCAGTAAGCTAAGTGCGACAGGGGCTCAGACTTGCGCAGGGCACTGGAAGACACCTGTGAAGGTGGCGTGATTACACGGGGGACCCCCATTCTCCGTCATCCGACATAACTCGGAGTGACTACGAAAGGGAATGTCTCGGTTACGTATGTAACCCTCATTCCCTGAGTTATGTTACGTCTCCCTGCCACTTCCGCTGTACCGCTGGGTAGACGCCTGAGTTCAGTCTCGGCTCCTCAGCGAAGACATACTGCGGTTGTGTCCGCTTCCTCCTTTTATACTCACGGGGTGGGGCGGAGTACGCTATGCAAATTCCGCAGCCCCAAGGCATTTTCATGCCATTGGCTCATTTTTTAATACTCGAAGAGGATTGGCTTTCTAGGCGAAACCCCCATTCTCCGTCATCTGAAGTAACGTCTCCGTTCCCTACTCAGGGAACGAGGGTTACATACGTAACCGAGACGTTTTACACGTTGGATCAAATAGTGTGTGTGTGTAATCTCAGGCATTTCCTCCATTAGATCAAGAAGCTTTAAGATGTGTGTTTCTCCAGTGTGTGCAGTGAATGAAGAGCTCTTTAAACACGGCAGTGGAAACTTGTGAAACATCTGTCAGTCTGTGTGTTATTCCACAAACTTCTGCTTTGACCTGCAGACCAAACATACACTCCTGTCAGTAACGTAAGTTCTTCAAGATTTATTCCTCCTTTAATAAACCATTGTACACTTGCAGCTGTGCTGGACTGAATATTCACAACAACATCATTCTTGCTTCTGTCATATTGTTCAAATGGAGGATTTACTAACTTTAATCTGACATTTCACGTATTTCAAGCTTTCTAACGTTACACACACTCCTCTAAACAACATGTCAAGCAAACTGAGAAAACCTTATTTCATCGCACAGAAAACACTTTATGTCATATATGTATCTCTACTGTCTACAATAGTAAATGAATGCATGTTTTTTAAACTAATGACTGGTTTGTTATTTAGTGCCTGTCAAGATTTCATGAAACAATGGCAGAACAAAACGCCAGCGTCCGCGGATCAAGTGGAGGAGATTATGAAGATGAACGGAGGCGTCAGATGAGGAAATTTCTCAGGAAACTTTATGTTGCACACCCAATAATTCTCAGGACCATTTCCACCATTGAGATTCCAGTCATGATCTTAACTCTGTGTGCGTTGTGTGCTCTTATCAAATCTCAGCGCTCCACTCCAGTTTTTGTTATTCATTTGATTCTGTCAGATCTCATTCAGATCATTTGTAAATTAACATGGACATTCACAAGGTCATGGGATGTGCGTATGCTATATTATTATAGTTTGATTGCGGGTGTGTATTTTATGGCATGTGTTGCTCTAGAACGATATATTCTGGTTTCTCATCCTATCTGGTCCAGATCTCATCATTCACTGAAAGTCTGCTGTGTTATTTCTGTGATCGTCTGGTTTGTTCCTCTGATCTTTGCAGACTTTAAATACTATTCTCTGTTTAAACGTCTGTCTCGATCGATCGCCTGTTTAATCCCCTACCCGATAATCATTCTGTGTTTTATCGGCACTTGTCGCAGTCTTTCACGCACAATATCTCTTACTTCGGTAAAGCGCAAAAAGATTTTGGGCAGTTTATTCCTGGTGCTTCTAACTTACACTTTTCTCATTCTCCCCTACATAATCACGAATTGTATTATAAAATATAGAGGTTACAGGAAGGTGTCATTGTCCTCTATATTTTGGTATTTTTCTGCATATCTCCTGCTCCTGAACCCGCTGGCTGACTGTGTCCTGTACATGTTCATCAGGCCTGATGTCGGAGGGTTAATGAAGTCTGTTCACTGCTGTTGTAGAACTGACACACATCAGGATTCGACACACACACACGGGACGAACACTCTGGAGACAGTAGTGCAGCGTTTGCCTGCTGTGTAGTGCTAAAGCCTGCGTCTCATTCACGGACCTGCACTTCAACGTACAATATGCATTTTTTGGCCACCAGGGGTCACTCATTTAAAATAATAACAAAAGACGTACTTTGATGACGTCGGGAAAGATCGTGGGCTCACGGGAGTTGTTGTCGCTGTCAATGACAACCAGCTCAGCTCATGACATGACATCATCGTTTCACAAAATATACGGATATACGGCATCGCTGTAGATTTTTTTTTTTTTTTTCAGGCTTTCATATTTTTCAGGCTGTAGCAGCAGAACGTGCAGGCAAAGTGTAGTCATGGTCCATAACTATAATACAGACGAATATATTTATATTATGCTCCTTCAATGAATGACCTATTTAGAAAATTTTTCATATATAGGGCGCACCAAATTATAAAGCACATAAGATACTGCAGTCAAACGTTCGACTGGGTTTCCGTTATGCATCCACTATGTGCTAAAGGCTAAAGGGAATGTAGTGAGTGCGCGAAGCCGGAGGTGAGGCGTTTATTTAGTAAGCATGAGCGCGCTGAAGCGGGCACGTACATTCGCAGCCTGACTCATATGAGTATTCAATGTGCGCGGCTCGCTAACTGCAACAGCTGGCTGTTTTGAATGAGACAACACGGTTACTGTGAACGGGGAGCACTTTATGCGCGAGCAGCACCGAGGACAGTGTCTGTTAAGAGTGAGTGCTCGTGAGCGGGCACGTGATTTACACACATAAAAATACGTACTACTTTTTTTTCTTCGTCATTTTCTTTGCTTTATTGGCGGTAGTCCAGTGTTCCCCTTTGTGTTTGGCGGTTTCGCCGGGTTCCACAGAAAGTTAGAGAAAATAGAAGAGTCAAAGGTTATATGACGGCATAAACGGGTGACGAAACGGAAATAAAGAAACGTACCGTGTCTTCGAATTAAACTATGAATTTCTCCGTATTTGAAAGTTGGTGGAAACCGTCGGGATAATGTAAGTACACGTCTAATAGAAATATATAACATCGATACAGCTATTTCTGCTATTTTTAAAGCAGAAAAAATACATATTGTGGCTTTCAATTTCAACATCTGCACTCCATACATGAAGTAAATGCCATTCTGTTCACTCACACACCCTTCCTTTCTATGGCATTCAGCTTTATTAGAGACAACTCTTGATTCATCAATTGCTCTGTTTGCGGCCCATAAAACACATGCGGTGAACAGAGTTTTATTAAAGATGTGTTGATGTAGTGTTGATGCTTCTGCTGGAATTCTGGACCAGCAGGACTTTATCATACGATGGAGAGGAGGGTTGTATAAAGCACGGTTTATTCTCACTTCATTCCCCCGATAGACTGACAGATCAACAACATCAAGTAGTTTCAGCTCGTAGTCTTGCTTGTGTTCCTAATGCATGTACATTATACTCTTTTGACCAAATAACTACTATTCACGCTGTTACAAAGATAACTGACATAATGTACATATGCTCTCATGTCCATCAAAAGATGAATAACTTTCTTTCTTCTGTGGAACAGAAAAGACAATATTGTGAGATGATTTTTTTGAAGGCAGTGGACAGTTTCGGGTGAACTATCCCTAAAAACACTTGATTTAAAGTGCAGAAAGTATATCAGAAGGGTTCTAAGTTTATATGAAATATTAACCAGAGCTTGCATGGAAATCAGAAGAGAGTTATTTGTAATATTGTTGTGTCTTTATAGAAGTGTTTCATGTGTCACATATGGAGTCAGAGATTGTCCTGTATTCGCTCTCTTCTGTCATTAATATAATTAAAGATCTCTCAGTTCTCCTGTGTGTGTCTTATTTGACTAATAACAGATGAGCTGAACTGAGAAATGAAAGCTTTAGCTTAAGTTCTGTCAGGAAGACTCAATCAGCAAATGAAACAAAACAGGTGCTTTTGAGAAGTACTACTTACAATAGGTGTTTGTGACTCTTCGTAAAAGCAAGCAGGATATTTGAGATGTCTTCTCGTAGATTATAGATTGTGGTATAGCACATACAGTAGACCGAACTGTTAAGTCTGTTATATTTAGCAGGTACATTAAACGCATAAATCCCTGGTCTAGTCCTTTGTGGAATGTGATGTGATCCTCCTCTTATTATGGTTAGATCTTCAGGGTCGTCATGTCTCTCTGTAATAAACAACTGTTCCTGATCCACAAATAGCCTACATGATGCTGTGCCAGCTGACACCATAAATCAAAGCCTGGATATTAACTAGTACTAGTGGTAGGCCTACAAGTTTTCTCATGCCATAGGGTGTCTAGCTGCCTGCCAATCTGCCAATCCACTCACTGACAGAAAACAACGGGGACACGTCACAACACACCTCCTCTGGCAAATACCGGTAAAACTTGCAGCTTACCTTTCTTTACATCCATGGAAAACAATATCCACCGAGATGACAAATCCATTGTTTAAATCCATCATATGCCGGCTGGCTAGCCTAATCTATCAAAGTGCAAAGTTGTCCGGAGGTTGACATTGAATTTTAGGAGTCGCTGTGGGTAACGTTATGCCGAGTTCAGACTGCATGATTTTCAAAGTAGTCGGGTTGCTGTTCTTTTCACACTGCATGACTATCTTGGCCAGCATTCAGTCACTGCTGTGTTCACACTGGACGATTGATCGGCGACAGAAGGTTTCACACTGCATGACTTTAGAAAAATCGCCGACAGACTCTGTCTAGCACGCTGCACGCAAACTACATTTCACAACAAACACGCGTGAGATATGAAAAGGAAACAACGCGCGACACCACACGTGCAAGACCGGAGTTCTCACGTGAGACTTTTTTATCGACCCGGTTGTGGTACAGCTGGTGAAACAGACACGAGTGCTCCTGGCAAATTTCTACTAATTTTTCTTCCATTTATTGTGTCCAAATAGACCGATAAGAAGCTTTTTTTTGTTGAAACAATGCCATATCATGTTGATATGTGATCTATAACTCCTCCCCGAACTCTGCTGCTCTGTATCTTGCTCTCTCACTGGCTGCCGGTGATCGCCGATGTAGTTTTCAGTCAAAACACTTTTCACACAGCAGGATTTTGAATCGCCGCCAGGTCCAGATATTTAGCGGGCGTCGGCGACTCGTCGGTGATTCTCTCAGTTCGCATCTTTGCTCATTCACACTGCGTGATTGTCACTCGCGTGAACGAGCGCCGATTTGCCTGTGATTTCGGGCATTTGTCGGCGATTTCTCAAAACCTGTCGGCGAGCCAAAATCGTGGCTAAAATCATGCAGTCTGAACTCGGCATTAGTGTCACAGTCCTCTGTCTGCACCAGTCAGTCTTGTCATCAGCACTACACTTCCCAGGATCCTTTTGTCTCCTCTCCTGAACTCACTCCCTCATCAGCCACCTGTTCCTCGTTTTGATCATCTGTTTCACCTGTTTCCACTCCATTTAGCTTAATCCTTCTGTGTATTTAGTTCAGTTCAGTTCCATTCAGTCTTTGTCAGTCGATGTAAGTGTTTGCTGTGTTTTGTGGATTCCCTACCCGCCTTCCTGTATGTACCCGGTCCTTGGAGTTTCTTTATTAAATGTTAGAATTGGAGCACTCTCTCTCGGATTCCTTCTTCCACCCGTACTACACCGTGACAGTTAGGCTAGGGGGACCAGATGTCCGGTTTACAGCAACCACTAGGAAATTGTTCCGGTTAAACAGGTAACTTCCCTATCTCTTAAAGTGTTATTTTACTTAAATTAAGTAAAACGATAAAGTTTTAACATGATCCAGTACAGATAATAGCCTTCTCATTATTTTTTATTTTTTAATATTCTATTGATGTAATATTAAACCTTACTAGACAGAACTCACTAAATCTTATTTTAAGGCCATCATTGTTATCATAGAAATGTTTGAATAGAGTGATAAAATTCAAAATGGTCTATAAATTAGAAGTCAAGGTATTTTGCCTTTGTATGGCACATTATTGTTCTGCAGATAATGCAAAGGCAGAATACATTAACTTCTGAATAAAGGTCAAGTTTGAGCTAAATTTTATTTATGTAAATAAATATATTCATTATGACAACCACTTGGCAAATTATCAGTGTCCAACCTATCATTTAATTGGCTGGACAACAAAAAAACT